ACAACAGATGTGTGGGAACTTTCCTTACACCAGCCATTTCTGTGACATCAGCTGGGGGTCCCAGAGTTTAACTCAGTTCAGACACTACCTACCTGGAGGTTCCCACAGGGGTTAAGGGCTCAGTTCCACAACACTGCCCTCCCTTCAGATGGCAAATTGCAAGTAGGTCCCCAGGTTACCCATAACTTCTGTCAAACATGGCTACAAATCGGGGGTTCCCATGGCTCCTTTCCTGGGTTCCCTTACTTTGGTAGAGTGGCTCACAGAACTCAGGGAAACATTTATGTTTACCAGTTTATTAAAGGATATGATAAAGGATACAGATGAACAGCCAGATGAAGAAATACATAGAGTGAGGTCTGGGAGTGTCCTGAGTGCAGGTGCTTCTGTCCCTGTAGGTTGGGATAGGGTCAAACTCCCAGTGTGGATGAGTTCATCTCCCTGGAAATTCCCAGAACCCTCATACTTCTGGGATTTTATGTAGGGATCATGTAGGCATGATCAATAATTAACTCCATATCCAGCCCCTCTCCCCTCTCTGGAGGGTTGGAGGGGACTGGTCAGGAAATTCCAAGCTTCTAATCATGGCTTGGTCTTTCTGGTGACCAGTTCCCATCCTGGAGCCCATCCAGCAAGCCTCATTAGAACAAAGATGCTGTAATGCTCTGAACACTTAGGAATTTATATGGGTTTAGGAGCCCTGTGTGAGGGATGGGGTCAAAGACAAATATGAAACCAAGAGATGCTCCTAATGCTCTTATCACGTAGGAAATACTTAGGAAACTACAAAGGTTTTAGGATGTCTGTGCCAGGAACGGGGGCAGAGATGCACACGTGTGTGTGTGTGTGTGTGTGTGTGTATATACACATATTTTTTCTGTTATCTCACATGTTTTCTTGACTATCTTCTAAATATTTTATGGGCCGCCTTTTTGTGGGGGGAGGGAAGATATTTTTATTTTCCAAGACCTTCTTTCTCTTTTGTTGCTTCTTAAAAATAGCAGCCTGTGGGGCGCCTGGGTGGCTCAGTCGTTAAGCGTCTGCCTTCAGCTCAGGTCATGATCCCAGGGTCCTGGGATCGAGCCCTGCATCGGGCTCCCTGCTCGGCGGGTATCCTGCTTCTCCCTCTCCCACTCCCCCTGCTTGTGTTCCCTCTCTTGCTGTGTCTCTCTCTGTCAAATAAACAAATAAAATCTTAAAAAAAAAAATAAAAATAGCAGCCTGTTCTTGTTTCATGGATAAAATATCACCTTCTAGCCCTCAGAGGACCCAGTGCAGGGAGCAGAGGAAAACTTCAAAGAAGGGGGCCCGGAGGCTCACTACTCAGTATGCAGGATTTTACACAGTCCTTTTACTCTCCAACTGGGATTTGACCACCGTGACCTTCTGTGCTAGGTGTGCCTGGTTTAGTTTATCCAGAGAATACATTTCTGATTTACTGTCAGTGTTGGGAGAATTAGTGGCTGAATTTTCAGGGTGGGAGCAGGAATAGCCACTTTCCCATCTTCCATCTGTTGTCCTCAACAGCTGTCGCATCCTTCTTGGGCCCTCACGTTGCTCTGTGGAGAAACCCAGCTTCTTGTGGGTATCTTGGTTTCTGAATGTAGAGTTTGATTCATTTTCTCCTCTGTGCAGGGTAATTTCTGAGAGAAGGATGGCACAGAAACATTTTTACTCCACCATCTTGAAATGGGAACTTAATTGCTTGTCACAGGTTGAATTGTGGTCTCCACGCCCACCTCAGAATTCATTTGTTGAAGTCCCTCTGTACCTCAGGGTGTGACTGTATTCAAGATTGGGTCTTTATAGAGATAATAATAAAACAAGGTCATTAGGGTGGGCTGTAATCTAACAGGACAGGTGTCCTTATAAAAAGGGGAAATCTGGACACAGAGACAGACATGTCTACAAGGAAGATGATATGAAGAGACAGGGAGAAAATGGCCATCTACAAGCCAAGGAGATCCTAGATCCTTCCCTCACAGACCTCGGAAGGAATCAACATTATAGATACCTTATTTTTGAACTTCTAGTCTCTAGAACTGTGAGACAATAAATTTCTGTGTGTTTAAGGCCCCCAGACTGTGGTACTTTGTTATGGCAGCCCTAACAAACTAATGCCATGCTATTTTTCATTTGTTCACACAGTGCCCTTCCCCCTGCTTAGTCTGATTCGTGCTTACTCTCTAAAATGCAACTTAGGTCAACCCATTTTGAGAAGGTGTTCTTTTTTTTTAAGATTTTATTTATTGATTTATTTGACAGAGAGAGAGAGAGAGAAAGGGAACACAAGCAGGAGGAGTGGGAGAGGGAGAAGCAGACTCCCTGCTGAGCAGGGAGCCCGATGTGGGTTTCGATCCCAGGACCCCAGGATCATGACCTGAGCTGAAGGCAGATGCTTAAGCGACTGAGCCACTCAGACACTCCAAGAAGGTGTTCTGATCCAGTTTAATTAAATGTGCTTCTTAGCTTCTTCTGTCCATAATACCCATCATGCTGTACTGTAATCATCAGTCATCTTGTCTGACTTCCACACTAGGCTATGAGGCACTTGAGGTCTGAGATCATGTCTTACAAAGTGCTTGCACATAGAGGCTTAAATATTATTTATTGAATGTATGTATTATAAGCATAACTTTTGGGGCAGGGTGAGTAAAAATGTATATTTTGGTTGAATAACAAAAATTTAGTATTAATATTAATATTTAGAGATAGAAAAATCATGGGAATACAATGACAGAAATTGCTGGGATTTAGAACTAAGAAAAATCGTGATCAAAAGTCTCCCCCCCCCCCCCCAATTATTTTTGAACACGAAACTTCCTGTCCTGCCTGGGAATCACAGCTGGGTAAGCAAGAATTAGGATTGCGAGTAACTTTGAACTCTTCATAGTTGAGGAGCCATGTGACTTCCCAGTTTCTGTGGCCTTTTTAAAATGACACTTTGTGTCTAATCACTGTGTTTTTTTCTGAGTAAAAAACTAGGACCCGTATTCTGATAAAAGACCAATAAAGTGGTTAGGTTTAAAAGGAAGTTATACAAATAGAATTTAGGTTTCTCACTCAATCATCATATCTGCTTTAACTAAATATTTTATTACTCCTTTTAATCTCTTGAGTAGAAGATGTGTGCCCCTGGTCCATTTCCTTCTTTCAGGTCTTATATGGAATACTTGTGATAAAGACTAGCCTTCTCTAATGTAAAAAGAAGGGGTCATTAGAGAACAACTCTTCACCTTCAGTGTCTTATCACAGTTCTCTTGTGTTTAGGATTTAGAGAAGAGAAAATCCTAGGATATTTTTGCCCGTTTAATGAAGCAGGATTTGAATATGTGAGCGCTTTCTGAACACATCTGGAGTTCCACTATTCCAATTAGTAGTGCTGTAGATGATACCATTCCAAAGGCCTGTCTCCCTTCCTGGAAAGTGCTTATTATTTGATGGAATGTGGGTTTTTATAGTGACAGAAATGGGGGAATGAATTAAGAAGTGCTTGAGAAAAATTATAGTAAGGAAAGGCGGGGTGGGGGGGGACCAGCCTTCATAAGCTTTATGGGTTATTAGTCCAAAGAACTAGGCCTGAAATATGTAGTGTCCTGCCATGATGCTGCTGGTAGTTTTATGGGAACAATGGCATTTCCTACATATTAGCTTATCAGGCTGCCCTCTCTGCCTCACAGAGGGTAGGCTACAAATCACTGTGAACAGAGAAAGTGTATGACAAATGAACAGACAAAATACTTAAATCTCATAAATTCCAGAAGGCATGGTCACTATGCCAGTGTGTGAAACCCTGTCGTGCTGGGTCAGTGGGACTGGAGGGCATCCTACTGTGTGTGCTCGTTCTCCTAACGCTGCCCCTTGAGGCTCTAATTCAGCCAGAGGTAATGACTCTTGTGTTGCTGAACAGCCTTTGTTTTCCTTCTCAGAAATAAAAATGAGCTTCAGGTACCAATGAAGGATGCAAAGACTTAGAAAGAAATGCATCTCTGGAATTCTGTGGTATCAGCCACCAGTTGACAGGCTATTTAATAGGATACCATTAATGAGCAGTAGGTATATCAGTGCTTCTAAAGTCACCGTCTCTATTGCTTGTCTCTGAGATGAACTGATCAGCTACTTAGAGTCTATATAATTTACAGAAGAATATAGCTCTATTTGAGAGCAATATCTTTCCTAGGCAGGGACCACTTTCCAGAATTTACATGTGTAAGCCATTAGTTGAGTTCCGTATATGTTGAATTCCATATATGTTGAATATGACAGCATTTTAGCCGAGCAGCAAAGGAGTAGGAAGTGTTGAAGGAGGGATATTCCAGGCAAGGAGGAGAATGGTAGATTCAGGGCTTCGGAGTCTGATCACCTGGAATTGGAGATCCATTCTGGCCTTGTGGTCCAATCAAGTTATTTCACATACCCAAGTCCATTTCCTTATTCACAAAATGAGGATAATATCTACTTCATAGAGTTTAAGGGTTAAATAAAGTAATAGCAATAAATGCCTGGCAATTTAATGCATTGATGCTATTGTAAATGAGGTAAAAACTATAGATTTTCCTCCTCCTTGATGGGCTTATTCTTAGTCCAGTTTCATCTTCATTCTCTCTCCTTACCAGAGTCTAGTTAGAACTACTGTTAGTTAGTTGGAATATACTTGGAATAGAGGAAAGTTAAATACGTTTTTCAAATCCCTATCACTAGAAGAATAAACTATGTTGATTATCTCTGAGGGGATATTTTTAAGCTTAATTAAACAAACATTTAGATCATCCTTTAAAATGTGCTGGATGATTATGCTTATACTAGCCTTGTTTTTATATATCCCCAGGGACATCTTCAGACATATGCATAAATCACTCAATAAGCAAGTGTGTATGGAGAGCTTACTGTATGCTTGATACAGAGGTTGAGTTATTAGAACCAGTCCCGTGGCAGGCAGACTAGTATATTGTGGTGATGCTTTCTCCTATGATTTTTTTTTTTTCCCTATACATTTATAGGCCAGAAGCCGGGCTTATAAGGATTCTCTAAAGGAAGAAGAAAATAAAAAATTGCAAAAGAAGAAGGAGGAACAACATCAGAAGGTATTCACAAGATCCTATTAGTCACTGCTAATTATTTGCTTGTGGTACTAGATAATTTTGAAGGTTTTCTGAACACAAATATTTACATACATGAAAATTATGAAAAAACAAGCATTAAAAATAAAAAGTGAGATCCGGGTGTATTTTAAGAGTATGATGGGGTGTGGTCAAAACTTCTGTTCAAAACTCTCATGGTACTTAGCTTCATAGAGGGGGTATAGTGTATCTGCTGTAGGTGGGCCAGTAATTCAGAAGATAACAGAACACTCGTGAACTTCTGATCTACAATATATATCAATGTCACTGTCATTTTTCAAACCAAAGATATATGAAATTATAAATAGTGTTCAGAGAACACTATAATGCATAACAAATAGCCATAAAAAGTTATGAAACTAGCTTAACTATTCACCTAAAAATGCACATATAAAACGAGGATACTCTACACATGTACACAAATATGTGAGGTATTCCAAATGTTTTGAGAATAGAAATCAGTGAAATGAATGCAGAGCCTCCTAAGAACAGTGCTTAAAGGGTAATTCTCGTTAGAATATAAAATTTCTGGCATGATAACCAAAAACATTCAATGTTGTGACTTGATGGTCATACTTGCCTTTTCTAAATATGCTCAGATGGGGCCAGAAGCTCCTCAGCATGGGATGAGAATGAAGACCAGTGGTTTGCTCCAAGGTGTCTCTTCATTCCAGATCTTTTAAAGAACAAAATAAATTATTTAGCTGGTTGGACACCATTATCTTCCCCATCATTCTCCTTTTCCAACTTCTCCTCTTGCCATATTGGTGGTTGATAAATCCTGTCATTTCTTCCAGAATATCTCTCAAATCTATTCCTTTATTATACAATTAACATGAATTCTAACTCTCATTTGATTTCCTTGAGTTAACTGGTTTAAATTTTTTCTTTATGTCTTTGCTGCACAACATAATTTATTATGGCAATTGTGTGTAAAATCACTTTATGAAATAGACTGTATGTACTGATTGTCACTGCTATAATTTGACCCTTTTGAGTGCTATCCTCCTTCCAACAATGGTCAACCCCTTACTCGTCATTTCCATCAGCATACAGCATAGATGACTGTGTCATTCAACTGCTTTGTGCATCGTTGGTAATAATTAAATCATTGGAAGAAATAATGTAAGTTGTACAGTTAGTTATTGAGCCACTATGTAAATAATGAAGAATCCAAAAAACATTTTTATTCCTTTGTGTTTTTTTAAAAACATCTTTTTCTTTTGACAAAGGCCTCATATTGAAATCCTCAATTAAATAATTAATATTATAGTAAGATTCTGTAGTAATTAGCATGTAGCAGCTAAGTCTGATGTACACTTGTGTTGTATTTTCAATAATGTCTGTCAAGTGACATGTAAATGTTGGTCTATTTCTATGACCTTTTAACTTAATATCAAGTCCTGAGGTACTTAGATAATGAGGAGAATGTTTAGATAATGAGGAGAATGTTGTGAAGTCAGTGTTAAGATATGATTTATATAAAAATAACTTCTAGTGAATTTTAAATAGTACTTTATAAAGTTTGGTGGAATACTTGCAACATGAAAACCATTAAAAGTAGAACATTTCACAAAGAGAATGCTCAACAGATTAGAAAATCAGATCTGGGATTTAATTTTCAGGTTGAGCAGTTATTTTAAACAGTGAAAATTAAGCTTTTTATTTCTTAATCTTATTTTTCTTCTAGAGTTAGACAAATATTGATACATATTTTCTGGTTATTGATTGAGCATATTTTTCTTTTGCATAAATTATTTCCCTTTACTTACTGTAGCTTTTAGTAAAATGACTAACTTTGGCATATACATAATCCCATCATTAGAGTTTTCAATAACAGTAGGAGAGAGAAGGATATTTACCTTATTATTATTATTTTTTTAAAGATTTTATTTATTTTTTAGAGAGCGAGTGAGAGAGAAACAGCATGAGAGGGGAGAGGGTCAGAGGGAGAAGCAGGCTCCCCGCTGAGCCGGGAGCCCGATGTGGGACTCGATCCCAGGACCCTGGGATCATGACCTGAGCCGAAGGCAGATGCTTAACCATCTGAGCCACCCAGGCGCCCGGATATTTACCTTATTTTTATTTCTCTTCCTTTTTGTTCAATCTGTTGTTTACATGTCCATGAAGGCATTTCCTGATTGGTAGAATCTCTCATTCTGTATCACTTCTAGGATTTAGCTTAAGAAAACAAGGATCATGTTTATGGTAAGAAGATACAGAAAAGAACCCCAGACGTATAATATCACATCTATTCATGTGTTTATTCATTTCATTCATTCAACAAATATTTAGTGAACACCCACGATGAAGTGATTCATGAGCAGATAATGTAAGTTAAGTTGAAGTGATAGTACATTTATTTTCTCTGTGTGTCTTTTTCACATTCTTTCATTACTCTGATCTCTGGACATAGTAGGTTCTTCCTTAAAGTTAACCTTTCAATATTTTACATTTAATTCAGTTCCCTCTTCTTACATAAATTTATTTAATTCCCCTTTCCCCCTATATACTCAATATATTCTTCTCATTTGACTGCTTTTTTGGGGGAACAAGTACACTCACTCTTGAATTTCTAAAGTAACCCCTTCCCTTGATTCTGCTATCCTTAGAGATACTATCTCTTCTGCTTCTACTGGGGAAAAAAAAAAAGACAAAGGTAATTTTACTATAATCACATCTTTATTATCCATTTTGCCCTTCGTTCCTTATGTTCTGACTTATATTTAGAAATGCTTGTACCAAAACCTCTCCAAAGGTAAATTCCTTCAATTCAGTGGTCATTTTGCAATCCCTGTCTCCCTGTAACTCTGTAACAGTATTTAATACCACTTTGAAGCTTTCCTTTTCTAGCTTTTTTTTTTTTTCTGGTGGATCTGTCTCAGAGTAATCTATTCCAGTATCTGTCCATCCATCCATCCATCCATCCATCCATCCATCCATCCATCCATCCTATCAACAAACATGTATTGAACTCCTATTATATTTGGAGGCTTCTGCAAGATGCTAGAGCTTCAATGAAGAACAGGATAGACAAGATCCCTGACTTCCCAAAGTTTGCTTCTATTTTTTTTTTAAAGATTTTATTTATTTATTTAACAGAGAGACAGCAAGAGAGGGGGAACACAAGCATGGGGAGTGGGAGAGGGAGAAGCATGCTTCCCGCTGAGCAGGGAGCCCGATCTGGGGCTTGATCCCAGGACCCCGGGATCATGACCTGAGCCGAAGGCAGACGCTTAAGGACTGAGCCACCCAGGTGCCCCCCCAAAGTTTGCTTCTCAATGGAGGAGATAGACAATTAAAAGGAGACAAAGAAATAAAACACTGCATGTTTTAATTTATGGTGATCAGTCACTTTGTAGTATGTGGTGATGTAGTCACTTTGTAGTCCTTCTTTCTTGCAAAAGAAGGAAATTGTGCATTGTGGTAACTTCAGGGTGGTGTATTGAATACTGTTGATTGCCTACCTTTGTCCTAAAACCCTGATTTTTTTCCCTCAGGTATACATCCTATTTGGCATAGCCCATCTTTCAGAGAAGGCAGGCACATCCAAATCCCAGGGATCTAATCCCAAAGGGTCTAACTGCTCCTGGGAATTCCAGTCTCATCAACTGTGATTGATTTAGCTATGGACATGGGAAATTGTTCCAACCAATGAAACTTAAGGGAAGCCTGTCTTTCAATACAGATTTTTATCAATATGAAATATACTAGTCTTCCCATTTAATGATTTTCAGCTTGATTCCTTTTTTTGCCCTTTTTAAAAAATCTGATTCTAATATTTTCTCTTCACTTTTTTGTTAGAATTTATATGGCAATTTCTTTTTCCATCATTTAATTTTTAACCTCTCTGTGTCATTTGGTTTAAATTATATTTCTAGTGACAAAAAGTAGCTGTTTTTCCTTTTACCCAGTATCATGATCTCTTTTTTTTTTTCCAGATTTTATTTATTTATTTGACAGAGAGAGCAAGAGAGCACAAGCAGGGGGAACAGTAGAGGGAGAGGGAAAAACAGGCTCCCTGCCAAGCAGGGACCCCGATGCAGGGCTTGATCCCTGAGCCGAAAGCAGACGCTTAACCATCTGAGCCACCCAGGCACCCCAATCATGATTTCTTTTAATATATTCTCATTTATTGTGATTACTTGTGCATTTGTACATATTCTTGCTATGTGATTTGCTTTATAGCTATATTTTCTTTCTTGTTTTCCATTCTCTATTTTTTTGACTCTCTGAATTTTTTCTGTTCCATTTATTTTCCTTTCCTCCTTTCTCTCCTCTCTTCTCTTTACCTCTCCCGTCCCCTCCCTAGTGGTAATAAATTTCAGTGTTTTTGTTTTTGATCTTGTATGACTTTTGGTTTATTTAATCTCAAAATATATGTTTCACTTTAGGGAAATTTCTAATTCTTTTATGTTTCTTCTCCTATTTTGTCTCTGTTATTTATTTCTGGGATATGTATCAAATGGATTTTGGAAATCTGAGACCTATTCTTTATATCTCTTAATTGTTTTCCTTATACTTTCTGTTTGGCCTTTTTCGTTGCATTCTGGGAGAAATCTTTAATTAGATCATCCTGCTTACTAATTTATTTCATAAGTTTCCATTCTGCTTACTTGGCACATGTATTGAATTTATTTACCAAGATTGCTGACTTTTTCATAGCAATATTATGCTTTATAAGCACCATACTCTTTCTGATCTCTTCACTGATGGTAATTACACAAACATTAAGGTTTTCTATTTACTACTTTAACTGTATTTTTTCCTTTCCATTTTAAGTTTTTTTTTATCTCCTGTGGTTTTCTTTCTCAATTGTAGGATTCTTGGTCATCTTGTTTTTTGGGCATGTTGCCAAGTGAGGTAGTTAGGAGCTTGTCTTCTGGAAGTAGTAGCCTCTTTTTCTCCTATAGTCTGTAGGTACCTGGGACGTTGTCCTGTTTCTCTGAGCCCAGACACCCCTC